TAGAGGTAGGGAGTGGATGAAAATGCCAAAGGAAAGCTCTGTCATAGACCAGCTTGTGTGGAAGAAGTCAGCTGAGGGCCATGGAGTTTTGTCTTGGGCAGCAGGCTATGGAGGTAGCTCCTTTCCCAGGCAGGAGAAAGAATAAATGAGACTTCTGAGAAGTAACAGAATGATGCTGTTCCTACTGGTGTCACCCAGGTGTCTGTCTCAGCATGAGAGAGTCAATGCTGAGCAGGTGGATGGCCTTGTGCAGAGTGACGAGAGCATGCCGGACAGCATGGGAGCACCAGGAGTTCAGGTGCTAGCCTACAAGAGTGAGAAAGAGCGAGCTGAGAAGTTGAGGGAGGCTGATCCACTCCCCAGCTTCAGTTTTCCTAATTTCTCAAGTGGAGTGTAGAGGAGTCCTGTGCACAGGGTGTTGACAGTGGCCCAGCCTGGCTGCTTGGGAGTAGGACTCAGGCTGTTGGTAGTTCATTATCTGTTCAGTAAGTGGAGTAACCAGAGCATGCAGGCATGGGAAAAAGCCCTCAGGGGACAGTGGGAAACAAAGAAAAGAACAGGCTTGCCCTCTGGGAGGGAGGTTATAAAAGAATGACCTGTAACATGTTTGTTGTGTGTACATTGTGTACTCATATGAAACATGGGACTGAGCATGGTTCAGATGCAGGTATTTGATTTTTAGTAGCACAAGATGGGTTGAGATGGGAACAAAAATAAGATAGCCTGTGGAGAACTGGGCAGGACTTAGGACAGTGAAAAAGCACAGAGCCTTTGATGTGGCATTTCTGCTTTTAAGGGAACAGGCTCCGGGTCTTGGGGGTGGAGAGGAATTAAATTGGTCTGCAGCAGTGACCGCAGAGGATCATGCAGCTGCTAACGGCAGCTGAGGGCTGGGAGGACTTTGGATATATTTTTAGCATTTTGATATAATCATTGTACAAGGTTTCAGGGTAATTTGGACTTGTTTCTAAGACATATGCATGAATGAAGAAAAGCAAGATGAAAAATAAAGTTTTGGCCAGACTTGATAGGTCATTCTTTAATCCTAGCATCTGGGAAGCTAGAGCAGGGGCATGGCTGTGATTGGAGGCCCATTGGGGTGTATAGTAAGTTCCAGCCCAGCGTGGTCCACAGCAGGAGACCCTTTCTTCAAAAGAAAAGAAAGGACACCCAGCAAAATGCCTTAGTGGGTAAAGGCTCTCACCTCACAATCCTGACCTCCTGACCACCCAGAACATACAAGGAGAAAGCTCCACAAGATGTCCTCTGATTTCCATATGAACAGTGTGGCTCCCACACACCTGCACTCACAGACTTCATGTCGTGACACACACCCATAATAATGAAGATATAAAAAGTAAATGGAAATTTTGTTTATAAAAATTTTAAGGGAAAAGGAAGGGAAGAAAGAAGGGGGAAGGATCTTGTGTATGACACACACGGACATTTCTGGAAGGACCCAAGATAAATTGTGCTTAGGGAGAGTGTCTGGGGTAGAGTGGATGCCCCCAATTCTTGCACCTTTCCATTTGCACACTGTGCATTTTCTTCCTCTTGCATCCATATCTTAAAGCTTGATGACTTATGGGGTGGTGTTGTAGTTCATTGGTAGAATACTTGCCTACCATGCAGAAAGCCTTTAGTCACATCTCCATCAGCAATAATTAGTAATAAGAACATAACAATTTCCCTAGAGAAGACCTAGAAAGTAAGCCAGGTGTGGTACACACCTGTAATCCCAGCGGCTGGGAAATAAAGGCGGGAAGCTCAGAAGCTTAAGGCCAGCTGCGGTTACATGGTGAATTCAAGGCCAGCTTGGGCTACATGAGACCTGTCTCAAAAATGCAGAGAAAATATAAAGTACTTAAAGATCACTCATAATTGAAATATTTATATATGTGATTATATGATTTTATTTTTACTTAACAGTATACATGAACATTTCATGTTTATCTAACTGTTGAGACAGGGTCTTGCTATGTAGCCCAGGCTATCTGGACCTGAGATCATCCTCCCTTAGCCCCCTGGGTAGCTATGATTCCAGGCCTATTTCACTACAGGATGAAAAAGTGGAGAAAAGTGAGCTTAGGTGTTTGTACATGAGCTGAAATCTCCCCAGGGCTGTATTTGGAATCACTGATCCCTGAGGGATGGGGACAGTCGCTTTCTAGGACTGATTTTGGGGGTTAGCAGTGATCTTTCTCTGTGCCAACAGCATTAGCTTTCTATAGTCTGTGCAGCTCATAGGGTCAGACAGAGTAAGAGCAAAGTCAGAGCCCCAGGGAGTGTGTCCCAGAGAGAGGCTGGCACTTTGTATCAGCAGGTAACTCCATCTGCTGGTATCAGACCCTGAAGATAGGCAAAAAACAGTGCAGCTCTCTGGCAGGCAGAGCCTTTCCCTGTAGTCCCTGGAGTCATTCTGTCATCCCAGAGATCTGTAGCAGGATAGAATGGGTGAGGGGGTGGGGGTTGGGGGGGTGAAAAGCAATGTGATCCCGGCCTATTTATAGAGCACTCCTCTGCAGCAGGGGCCGAGTGCAGCATCTTGGAAGGAAGCAACGGAGCAAGTTGGCTCAGTTGCCAAGCTCAGGCCTTTCAGTCTGGTGCACTGAAAATCCAGACACAAATCCCTCTCTTCATGGAGGAAACAGGCTGCAACAGATGGTGTGGGCTGCCCAGGGTTTAACCCATTTCATGGGCAGCTGGTGTCACATGGGGAAGCACCTGAGCCTGGGAGCCACATGGATCTGCCCGAGATCTTTCCAAGTCAGGTTATAAAGCTACATGCAGTGCTTATTTACTGGATAGGGCCGCTGAGAGTGATGGATGTAAAACAAGTGCCTGGTGATTGGCCTGTCACTCTTTACACTTGGTGGCATTTTCATTTGTATTGTTACTACAGTGTTATCACCATTACAGTGAGCCATTTACCTGTACTGGGGCTTTGAACACTTTCCCTAGAGGGAGCTGGAGGCAGAGTGACTAGCAAGCAGAAGGAACCACCTCCAGGAATTCCTTTAGCTGAGGCCCTCACCACAGCTAAGAAATCTAGACACGGTGCGCCATCTGCTGGATTCTGGAGGGACTGCCTTACACAGAATTCCTCCTCCCCCAAACCCCCCACCACCACCACCTATCCACACCTTCATTTTATAGGTGGGGAAACTGGCCTTTGCTCCAAAGAATAGGCTGGATGTACAATATGTACAAGTACATATGATGTGTGACACAATCCCTAAATAGTCACTGTGTCCCCTCCTGATATCCATGGCTCTCTTTGCTCTTGAGTGTTGTCCACCACAGGGCTGTAGTGTTCCTGATTTCACACCTTTGTTCCCACTCCAGCCTCCTCTGTGCGCCTGCCCCACCTTTGCCACTGGAGGGCTCATGGGAAACTTGAAGCCAGCCAGGAAACTATCTAGTAAACAGTTGCTTTCCACCTGCCTGGTACCCAAATGCTCTGTGGGTCCTATTTCAGTAGCCATGCCTCTGTCCAGCTCCTGACTCATGTCAGAAACCAAAATTCAGCCAGATAGTGCCCACATACTTGTTCCTCAGGTTGTGTCTAGGATCTGTCTCAATGCCTGCTTGATCCCTCTGCCTTCTCACACCTGGCCTCCCAGAACCCTCCTAACTTACTTCCATCCAGGCCCTGCTCTGCTTGGACATTGGAATTGTCTTTGAAATGCACAGCTTGTCCTCATGACCTTATCTAAAACCGTCCAGGATATGGTCTGCCTCTGTCCACCCTCTGTCCTCGGTGTCACTGTCCCCTCTTGTGAGACCTTGCTGCTCTTCCGCTCTACCCCATTGTTTTTCAACAGAGCCTCGAGACTTTCTGTTCCCTTTCTTAGGATACTCTTTTCCTCTCATTATATTTGTAAATGTTACTTTGAGACAGGGTCTCATTCTATTATCCCAGAGCTCACTATGCAACTGTACAGCTCAGGCTGGCCTCAAACTTAGAGCAATCCTCCTGCTTCAGTCTCTTGAGTGCTGGGATTACAGCATGGTGTAAGCCACCATGCCCAGACTCTTCCCACACCATTCTTGGATGTTGACAGACATGGTATTTCCTGACCGAGTCTTGGTTGGGTCCTGGCCATCCCTGTGGCACCCTTGAAGCCCTGGACACATGATCATGACAGCTTGATGCTGAATTCAGTGAACTTTAAACTCTGAGAGGTGGGGGAAAGTGCTGGCTTGTTCTTTGCTCTCTCTGTAGCTCCTGGACTGTGCCGGGCACGTGATACGGTGAGCTGGAAGTGCTGGTCTTCAGGGCTACTTTGAATGAAGATGTAATGTGTGTGTGTGTGTGTGTGTGTGTGTGTGTGTGAGAGAGAGAG